TTTGATCTCCCCACCGGCCCATGGAGGCTTAGAGCAGAGCATGCACTCGGATAGTGCCGGTTCTGCATGAGCCGACAGGGGAGATCCTGAGATCTCCCCTGCCGGTCTCAATCCATAGGCGGGCCGCGGGGATTAGGTTGTGCCCAGGCACATCCGGCACACCCCGTGTGCACGCCTATGGCAGTAAGCACACTATTAGATGGTTCGATTTGACTCTCAGATATGAAGAGCAGGCCACAAAATGTACTATTTAGCAGATTAACACCCAGAAAATAAGAATGTTTACCACTGCACTGTAAGCACACTATTAGACACTTCGATTAGACTCTCAGATATGAAGAGCATGCCCCAAAATTTACTTTTTAGCAGATTAGCAGCAAAACAATTAGAATGTTTACAACTGCGCACTAAGCACACTATTAGACGCTTCTATTTGACTCTCAGATATGAAGAGCAGGCCACAAAATGTACTATTTGGCAGATTAGCAGCAAAACAATTAGAATGTTTACAACTGCGCAGTAAGCACACTACTAGACGCTTCTATTTGACTCTCAGATATGAAGAGCAGGCCACAAAATGTACTATTTAGCAGATTAGCACCCAAAAAATAAGAATGTTTATCACTGCGCTGTAAGCACACTACTAGACGCTTCTATTTCACTCTCAGATATGAAGAGCAGGCCACAAAATGTACTATTTAGCAGATTAGCACCCAGAAAATCAGAATGTTTACCGCTGCGCTGTAAGCACACTATTAATCGCTTCTATTTGACTCTCAGATATGAAGTGCACCCCACTAATGTACTACCCCACTAATGTACTATTTAGCACAAACATGTTTTTACTTTTTAAAACTCTGATGTAACCGCGATATTTGAAGCTTCTATTTGACTCTCAGATATGAAGTGCACCCCACCCCTCTAATGTACTAGTTTGCAGAATTCTTTACTAAGCTGTCCCTATCAGCGGCAGCATTCATTCCCTACACTAATAAGACCACATGTGCGTGCGGCACTACGCGACTCCAGCTTATATATAGAGGCTGGGTCACATGCTGCACTGGTCAATCACAGCCATGCCATTAGTAGGCATGGCTGTGATGGCTTCTAAGGGCACACGAGTCAAACGCTTGTTGATTGGCTGCCCTGCAGCCTTTCAAAACGCACCATTAAATCGCTGAACACCGAACTCCAACCCAAACATACAGTGATATGTCCGTGTTTGGGTCCGGGGTCCAAAAAACCTAATGTTCGGTACGAACCCGAACTTTACAGTTCGGGTTTGCTCAGCTCTAGTAGCAACCAAGCTATATCATTAGGCGACATGGCCTAAGGTATCATTGTTACGCTGATGACACACAACTCTACTTCTCCTTTGCTCCAGATACTACAGACCCAACATGCCACATCAACAATTGTTTGGCAGACCTCATAGAATGGATGAATGCTAGTTGGCTTAAAGTGAACCCGGACAAAACAGAGTTACTCTTGGGGAGGGGACCCCGGGCAACAAAAATATCCCATGATCACCCAACTGGCCTGGAGCTTGGAGGCTCTGAAAACGTTAGTTCATCAAGGGTACGAAACCTCGGAGTGCTGATTGACACTGGACTATCAATTAAACAGCAGATTTCCTCCGTAATAAAATCTGCCTACTTTCATCTGCAAAACATAGCCAGGATACAACACTTAATTTCACCGGATGATATGTCAATATTAATCCATGCATTTGTATCCTCTCGGCTAGATTACTGCAATGTACTTTTCTTGGGCTTCCCAGAAAAAGAACTTCATCGCCTTCAGATGGTACAAAATTCAGCAGCCAGACTACTGACCAATCAAACTCGCTCCTGCCACATAACACCTGTTCTCCACTCCCTGCATTGGCTTCCAATTAAATGGCGAACATATTTTAAAATTGGTCTGCTAACCTTCAAAGCCTTAAAGGAACACTATAGTCACCTAAATTACTTTAGCTAAATAAAGCAGTTTTAGTGTATAGATCATACCCCTGCAATTTCACTGCTCAATTCACTGTCATTTAGGAGTTAAATCACTTTGTTTCTGTTTATGCAGCCCTAGCCACACCTCCCCTGGCTATCATTGACAGAGCCTGCATGAAAAAAAAACTGGTTTCACTTTCAAACAGATGTAATTTACCTTAAATTGTATCTCAATCTCTAAATCGAACTTTAATCACATACAGGAGGCTCTTGCAGGGTCTAGCAAGCTATTAACATAGCAGGGGATAAGAAAATCTTAATTAAACAGAACTTGCAATAAAGAAAGCCTAACTAGGGCTCTCTTTACAGGAAGTGTTTATGGAAGGCTGTGCAAGTCACATGCAGGGAGGTGTGACTAGGGTTCATAAACAAAGGGATTTAACTCCTAAATGGCAGAGGATTGAGCAGTGAGGCTGCAGGGGCATGTTCTATACACCAAAATTGCTTCATGAAGCTTAAGTTGTTCAGGTGACTATAGTGTCCCTTTAAACAATCAAGGCCCACTGAAAGAGCTCTTGACACCCTACATTCCATCCCTTTCACTTCGGTCAGCCAGCAAATCCCTTCTGTCATTGCCAAGAATAAAGACAAACTCAGGTTCCAGGGCATTCAGCCATGCTGCCCCTACCTTCTGGAACTCTTTACCGTGCACAATCACAGAAGCACTGTACTTGCAGACTTTAAAAAGTTTTTTTTTTTTTTTTTTAAAGCTAAAGACCCACCTCTTCCATCAAGCATTCAGTCCGCTCATCTGACCTTCAGAAACTCCTAACTTTTATGTCTTTATGTTTGTATATTTGTAAAGTGCTTTGAGTCTCACAGGGAGAAAAGTGCTATAAAAATTGCAAATTATTATTATTATTGTTATTATTAACTGTGCACCAAGGCCACCTATCTTTCCCAAGCTACCAGAGAAAGATGAGGTCACAAATGGTGCCACTCGATATACCCCAGACTCAAACCGGATTTACAGCCCTGAGTCTGACAACTGTAGGCACAAAATCCAAAGGCGTCCTCTCCCAACCTCCCACAAAAGGGCAGATAAAGCATGTATAATTAATTTATTAACTGTATAAACATATTCATATTTGAGAACTGCATAGAAATAAATGTATGTACATATTTCAGCTTTGAATGTAATGTAATGTGTTTGACTCTGTGAGTATAGTGACTGAAAGCAGCTGTGTAAAAAATGCATGCAGGGTAAAGAATAACATTAGAAGTGATTAGGGTAAAAGGGGGGGGGGTGTTAAGATTACTGAGGGGTTAACATCAGAGTTAGATTAGAGAGGGTGTTTAGTTCTGAACAGATTAAACACTGTAAATCTACTAAAAATTTTGTTTAATTACTGTTAAGGATTATTGAGTTCAGGGATACATTCGGGGTATATGAGGGGTTTACTTTTTAATCGTAGTTAAACATATGATTAAGGTAAATGGTTTATTTTCAGGTTTAAGCTTTGAATACTTAAATTTGGGACTAAGGCTTTTTTTTGCGGGGGGGTCAATTAAGAAGAAGGGAAAAGGGAAGTTTAGGACATGTGGAGTTTTATGGCATATGTAAAAAGTACTTATCCTACGTTTTCTGTAAACCAGTGTCCGAGGATTGATATTAGAGCTGCAGAAGCTGTTATACAGTGTGCATCACTCAGAGCTTCCACGGCTCCTCCAGCAAGGCATTTCCTGTGGGCCCTTCCACTTCCTGTCCAGCCTCACACACAGACACTGGAGGAGTTGAGACAGCACTGACCTTTATAGGTTTCACTATTGAGACTGACTAGCCTACAGAGGACACTGGACATGGCTCGCTTATCTTCCCTCACCAGCCTACTTGATTTCAAAAAGGCACATTATAAGTGGTGACAGGAGCCCTCTACATCTGTCTGTAGACAGATGACTACTCTGCCTATTTGGAAAACTCACTAATTATCATTAATAGTCCTATTTTAAAGAATTATATATAATATAATAATTTAATATGCAAAATATTGCAGAGACTCAGAAAGTTCTCTGTTGATACTTTTGAAAAAAGATATTGTACTTTTTAGTACAGTGTCAAAGTAGGTGCCTCTAGCCTGACCCCTGAAAAGAAGCCTTTGTCATAGCTCTGCCCAGTGATGGAATATACGATTCCTATATACATGTATGACTCACCAATTTTCACACACTCTGTATCAGTGCATGTATGCAGTGAACATAATAATTGGGGCGCCCAACTCTAAAGTGAGTGGGCAGACCTACCTATTGCCTATTTTCCCGTATTTAAAGGACCACTATAGGCACCCAGACCACTTCAGCTTAATGAAGTGGTCTGGATGCCAGGTCCAGCTAGGATTAACCCTTTGGCCTTAAACAAGACAATTCTGTATTGATGTTGCTTTCAGTCCGGTGTCATCAAACATGCTGCATTAACCTGTGCTTAGAATGGAGCTGTTGAAAAGAAGACCGCTAATGTGAGGGTAGGGTTGGAGGTGGTTACGAGTTAGAAGTGCTAAGATTTAGAAAAAAACTTTTTTCAATGATTTATTTAAGTAGAGACAACAGTACAAATCTAGAATAAGAACATTGTGCCAAAGTACAAATTCAACAAGCACCATTGCTCTGCAGTTTCACAATTTTCTGATAAGGAAAGTGGAGTACCTTCATAAGAAAGTAAGAGAGAAGAGTAGAAAAGAAGAGGAAGAAAGAGGAAGAAAAAAAGACAACTTAAAGAAAAAGGACTGCAGTGGTGGGGAGGGTGAAGCAATTACCCCATTGTTCGGTGACCACGAAATTAGAAACCTGCTCTTAAGGTGTGTAATAACACAGATATAAAAGATATAAGAAAGAGCAATTTTGCGTTTACATTAATGCATCGCAATATTTGTAACGCTGATTTTTCTAGTCAAGATTCTAAAAGTAAATCCAATAAGAAGCAGTGCAGACTTTCTTAATGAAATATAATCGCATGAAGCAAGGTCAGAAAGTTAACTGCGATGGTAGAGGAGGATAAATTTGTAACAGGGCAAATAAGTGAGTTTAATGTTTGAAAGAGGCACTTGTGATTGTGATAAAAGGTGGTGACAAGCGAGATGACGTTTCCTTGGCAAGAGAGAGGGTTTTAACTACATGAGCAAATCATACATATATATTGTAGGAAGATAAATGCAGAGTGTAACTTTGTCCAGTTGGCCGAGATAATCAGGAACACCTGTGGAAGAACCCAGGTTAATTTTGTACGTCATGTTGGAGGTGTCACCACTGTGAAGCATAGTTTGTGATGCTTGTTATTTGATAGGGTAGTATACGGAGCAGGGGAAAGTAAAATACCTTATTGCCAGCAACATTGAAAAACACAGTGGGTACAAACTTACCCAAATGTATCCCCCGATTCTGGCACTGCCATGTTTTTGTTAAATAAAAATATAATTTATTTGTGTTTTTTTACTTTTCCCTATGCAGCACAAACAATGTACATGCTCATTGTAATACTATCCATAGGTTGGGCTGCCACTGTCAACTTATATTTGTCTTATATATTTTATTTTTTAACCACAGCATATTGGGGGGAAATGCAATAAGCAGTGGACTGGGGTGCGTTGACAAATGGCTTGCAATTGTTTTGGCCAAAACATTGTATTTGAAAATTTGGATTGTTTAAGAATCTTTGCAAATTAGCTTTTTTTTTTAAATGTCCATATTTTGCTAAGCTTGGATTCTCACGTTTCCACTGCTATCTATTTACTGAATAAACCTTCAAGTCTTAATCTATTTGTATATTCTATCCTGCCGCTTGCCTCTGAAGCTCTGACGAAAAAAAAATAGGAGTACTTGGCTGATGGGAGCTTTTAATGTACTAGAAGTGAAACAAACCTTGCCTATCCCTGTCTCATACATCTCACCTCCTTTAAGTTTTTATTATGAATTTTTCAAAATATACAAACAGCAAGGAGTCCATGGGTTGTAAATCTCTCCGGATAGAGGAGTCACACAGTTCAGAGGAAATTGTTTTGGTGGCTTGCCAATTCCTTACACCCTTCATATCCCCCAGGACCTTCAGAATAACAGCTCCCAGTCATAGCAGTGGGATCTGTTCAGTCTCTGGTCTCAATTACATATTCATCTGTTTAGCTCTCTCTCCTTTATAACTTCACCCAACCCTCTTTAGCACAGACATGAATCACTAGGCTTTCTGATGGTTCCTGGCAGGAGCAAAATCTTTTAGAAATATCCCACATTGAACATAAAGTATATTAACTCTATTACTGTCAATCCAACACGCTAGATTTATCAACTTTGGGGTCACAAACATACCCGGCACACATAACATACATGACATTCTACTCCCCCACCCCCCACTCCATGTGTACAACAGATGCTTTTTGGGCTGGGAACATGGTTTCACTATAAATGTTTGCAGACACTGAAGCAAAGAATTTGGAGCTATCATTTTTTTTGTCCAGTCCCCTTCCCTAATTTGAAATCCAGATGTATGAACTTCTCAGAAGCTTTAGTAAAACCATGTCTCAGTGATTAAGTGCCCCCATTAACTCTCGCAGGCATCTGGAGTGTGACCTAAGAAGCCTACAGGGCATCAGCCTACAGGGGGTGCCCTGCAGCTAAAGTAACATTATACTCCTAGTAGTAAAAGATCGAAAAGTTATTTTGTTACATTAGATCAGGCCTCCGTTTACAGAAATACTGTGTATTGTTGCTCTGTTGCTGTAAATATTTTTGTTGTTGTTAGGATGGTGTAATGGTGTATTTTTGTATCATGCTGCCACAAATTGTAGGACAATATGGAGAATTGAGCACTATAGCGTCCAATTCAGAGAACGCAAAGACTGGCAAATGTTGCAAATGAAGAGGAGAAATAGAAACATTGTTTTCATTTCATTCTCCTCGTCTCTGCATTCTTGCTCTATGCTGGCCGCCATATGCAAAGAACAGAGCTTATATCCTCTAGCATGTAAGCTCATTGAGCAGGGCTCTCAACCCCTCTGTTCCTGTGCGTCCATTCGTCTAGTTACAAATACGTATCTATTAGTCCACCCATTGTAAAGCGCTACAGAATTTGCTGGTTCTATATATATATATATATATAAAAAAAAAAAAAATAATAATAATAATAATAATAATAACAGTGACTGACAAGGAGCTAAGATGGAAGTGCCCAGTTGTGGTAATTATATTTTTCACACCTCACAATTACATAAATATATAGATAAAATAGTTAAATATATAAATAAGTAAATATACAATTAAGTGATAGTTTTCCTTTAAAACATCTGATGCACTATTAACAATGTTGAAGCAACCACAATCCCACTATTCCAATATTTTGTGAAAGCACTTTTACCGGTGTTAGATCTGTTAAAATAGGTATTTTACGGAATATTAAACAGTCTTGTTTACGCAAACACAATCCTACCAAAGAGAAATTATCAACATTTTAACAGGAGAACTGGAAACGTGGCAAGTTCAACACCTAAACAATTAAGTCACAAGTGTGACTATATAAGTTGCCAAATCCTGTAGATTCCATCTTAAAAACATAGCCCGCATCCGCCCCTTTCTTGCACCAGATACTACCAAGGAACTTGTCCATGCTCTAGTAATTTCCTGCATGGATTATTGTAACCCTCTCCTGATTGGTCTTCCCAAAAGCCGTACTGCACCGCTACAGTCCATAATGAACGCTACTGCCAGACTGATTTTCCTCTCTAGTCGTTTCTCTCACACCTCACCCCTCTGCCAGTCCTTACATTGACTTCCTGAATGCTATAGGAGTCAATTCAAGGTACTAATTCACACCTATAAAGCACTGAACAACTCTAGCCCCTCTTATATCTCCTCGCAGATCCATAGCTATGTTCCTTCTCGGTCTCTCCGCTCTGCTCGTGACCACCTCCTGTCCGTTGTCCGCACCCGTACGGCCAACTCGCGCTTGCAGGACTTCTCGCGGGCGGCTCCCTTCCTATGGAATAGCCTGCCTACCGCCATCAGACTCTCCCCTAGTCTTGCATCTTTTAAGAAGTGCCTTAAAACCCATCTCTTTAGGAAAGCTTATGGCCTCCAAGACTAACCTCTACCTCACATACCTGTCCCTTGCTCTCTCCTAAAGGGCAGTCCACCTTATTTGACTGCAAATTCCTGTCCTAATGTGTTTTACACCCCACCTCCTATAGAATGTAAGCTCGATTGAGCAGGGTCCTCTTCAACCTATTGTTCCCGTAAGTTAATTTGTAATTATCCTATTTTTAGTTAAATCCCCCTCTCATAATTGTAGGATCTTTTCTGACTTCAGTGGTGCTAACATCATAAAAATGTAAACATCATAAAAATGTTGGTGAAAATTGGATCGTGATTGCTTTTATTACTAAAAAACCTGCAGAAAGTCAAATAATTGTATTGAAAATTTGCCAATACTAGATTGTAGTATTATGACTATGACTATATACATCTCTAATCTTATCTCAGAGGGTTAGTTCATAAAAGTGCCATTTATATCTTAGAATTGCTGACTCTTTAAGCCTGTCTCTCATATAATGACAGTGGCTATAAATAAATGGCGGCATGCTCCACGGAAGGGTTGTAGTTTTAGCTGTATTTGCAACGTTTGGCAATATAGCACATAATTTAGTTTTAGACAGAAACTGTAGACAAAAAATATTTAGGGACACTATAGGCAGTAAAACAACTTTAGCTTAAAAAAATAAAATGGTACCAAGATATATTAGCATTTTGAGCAAGCACAATACCCAACTCAAATTGCATATAAGCCTGATTGATAGATACATCTCATTTTTAAAGCAAAAGTAAAATAGTAATTTAACTTATGGCAGAATTAGTGTTAGCATGGGCGTATTTAGACTAGTACAAGTGTATAAATGCATAGCATATTTTACCCCCTAAGTTGTAGGCTCAATATGCCAATAATGAGGAGATAAAGAGGAAAAGTCAAATAATTATTATTAATATTAATATTATTGCCATTTATATAGCGCCAACAGATTCCGTAGCACTTTACAATATTATAAGAGGGGGATTTAACTATAAATAGGACAATTACAAAAAACTTACGGGAACAATAGGTTGAAGAGGACCCTGCTCAATCGAGCTTACATTCTATAGGAGGTGGGGTGTAAAACACATTAGGACAGGAATTTGCAGTCAAATAAGGTGGGCTGCCCTTTAGGAGAGAGCAAGGGACAGGTATGTGAGGTAGAGGTTAGTCTTGGAGGCCATAAGCTTTCCTAAAGAGATGGGTTTTAAGGCACTTCTTAAAAGATGCAAGACTAGGGGAGAGTCTGATGGCGGTAGGCAGGCTATTACATAGGAAGGGAGCCGCCCGCGAGAAGTCCTGCAAGCGTGAGTTGGCCGTACGGGTGCGGACAGGGCCGCCATCAGAAATTTTGGGGCCCCTAACACAGCTCAAGGTCTGGGCCCCCCTTCAAGCCCACCCACAGGGCCCGCCTCCAAATCCCGCCCACAGGAATACACACACACACACTAACAGATACAAATACTGAAACAGACATACACTGGCATACATACATGCACTGGCATACATACACACACACACACTGGCATACACACATACACTGGCATACACACATACACTGGCATACATACATATATACACTGGCATACATACACTGGCATGCACACATACACTGGCATACACACATTACACTGGCATACACACATACACTGGCATACACACATACCATGGCATACATACATGTATATACACTGGCATACACACCTATATACAGTGGCATACACACACACACATACACTGTCATGCATACACATATACACTGGCATACATACACTGGCATAAACACATACACTGGCATACATACATACATACATACACTGGCATACACACATACACTGGCATACACACATACACTAACATACATACATATATACACTGGCATACACACATACACTGGCATACATAGAAACCTAGAAACAAAGAAACATAGAATGTGACGGCAGATAAGAACCATTCGGCCCATCTAGTCTGCCCAATTTTCTAAATACTTTCATTAGTCCATAGTCTTATCTTATAGTTAGGATAGCCTTATGCCTATCCCACGCATGCTTAAACTCCTTTAATGTGTTAACCTCTACCACTTCAGCTGGAAGGCTATTCCATGCATCCACTACCCTCTCAGTAAAGTAATACTTCCTGATATTATTTTTAAACCTTTGTCCCTCTAATTTAAGACTATGTCCTCTTGTTGTGGTAGTTTTTCTTCTTTTAAATATAGTCTCCTCCTTTACT